TCGCCCGTGTATTGAATACTGCTGCCATATCGGGGTCTGGTGTTCCTGCCATTTATCTCGAGATTCTTGACAAAATTCAAACAAGGAACTGTAATAAAATCGGTCCTAACTAGTCATCTCGATATCAGTCACTTTCTCGCCGATGTCACGTAGCTTTCCTGTTTTTTTCTACAAATATTTTCATGGCTACTGCTCTGGCAAGCTTTGCATCTCTGGTGCCCCGACTGCATGAATTTAAACATGCTACTTGATTGGCATTTAGTTCCCACACATTTACTTTTGAATTAGCTAAATGCAACCATCACTTTTACTCCAAAAGATTCTTTTCTCGTACTTCCCGCCTGTGAAACTCCATTCCGCTTAATTGCTTCTCTGATAATTACAATCTTCAGAAATTAAATGCAACGTCAATCACCATTTTCTATCTACTAGAAACACGTTCATCATTTGTCCTTTCCTCAATCCACCCTATATTCTTAATTTTCTCTTTTCTCTCACTTTCATTCCCTGTGTACTAGTGGCATACCCGTCTTACTTGGGGTGAAATGATTAAAAAAAAAACTGAAAACCTAGTCTTCATCTAGTGCTTGTACATCCAGCATTTACGTCCGGATGAGGAAGGCAAAGTTAAACATTCAAATTTTAAAATAACTGAAAAAGTTAGTGATCTTAATTTTTTTTCATTTATATTGAGACTAGCATCATGACCCGGCGTTGCCCGTGCTTGATTAAAAAATCGTAAGACTCATACAGCAATCGCTATCACTTGACTTAAAATATTTTTGCCCTTCCTTGCCTTTAAAGGAGTGCCCGTTGCCGTGCTAATATTGCTACACGCCTTACTTCTTGCCTATCTCACACTGCGAATTTTTTCTAAGCTCTATACTAAACATTAAATCTGTTACGAAAAAAGAACTAAACAAAATGAACACAAAACGATCAGCTTTAAAAAAAGGTCTCGTAACTGGAAAAACCGAATGAAAAAAGAATGTTAACAACAAATACATTTTCACACCCAACCCAGTTCTGCGGAATCAGAATCAATGTTTACTTTAAGCAAGCGAATGAGCCAGTTGGAGTAAAGTGCCATGCAGATTTAAATTTTTCCCACTTGTGACGAATGCAGCTATCGATTTTCTTTGCATGCTAGTTAACATTCGTGTCAGTCAGCTGTTGGCTCTCACGCTGGCCAATAGAATCTTCCTGCCTATTCATGGCAGCCAGCTATAGGCTCTCACTCTGGCCAGTAGAAAATGACCGCAAACTACATGAAAACTGCCGTAGGAGCATGAAAAAATCGAATATTTCTACTATCGCTGGGAGTTGGAAAATGCAAAGTCGGTCTTGGCCTTCCCGCTAACTTGGAGCATGTGCATGCGAATTTTGGTGAAAATCCGTCGAAAATTGCAGCCGTGCATTCGTTACCCACCCACCCCCACACACACATACACATCCTGCTTTTTATAGATAGAGATTATAGAAACACAAAAATTTGTGAATTTTTTTTTTTTAATTCAGTTTAAAATATCTTCAAAACTTTGTGAATTGAGGAAATCAATTTTGTTTCTTCAGAATGCCAAGGAATCCGAGTTAAAAACGGTTTCGTGGCATGACGTTTTTAATTTTGTAGAGTTTTTGATTTAAAGAACTCAGTTTTGGGTTTGAATGAAATTTTGGCAGAGATCGGTCTTTGGTCCGAAATTGTACTTATAGCCCAAATCAGAGTTAAAGTGATATTTTGAAGTGAACTGAATTGAGAAATTCAAAGTTATTTCTTCAAAATTACCATTGCTGTTTTCTAAGCTGGACCAGCGTTTCCTATAATTTTTCGATGTAGGCCCAATTAATCCTAAACAGGAGCTAGCTTAAAACACCAGAGGGAGTGCGGTTATGAAGTTAGTAATTGAATCAAATATAATTGCATTTTATCTTGCGAAGAATAAATTTATTAAACACAAACGGAAATTATTTAAGACTCAAACTCATCGATTTTCTCGCCTTTACTCGAGTGATGCAATCTGTCCGGAAAGTACTCAGCCATTTCGTAAAGAAAGATATGTCCATAATTCTATCTCAAAATCAATCCAGGGAATTCTAGTTATATTTAGTTCGATTATCGATCTGTTTTATCGATGTCTAGCAATTATATTTTATTGATTTTTTATAGAAATTTAAATAATTCTCCCAAATCCACAGATTAAGCTCTTGTTTTTTTGTTAAATCAATATAATATTTATTTGTACTTAACTCTTTCAAATTTGAATTTCCCATCACTGGTCACTGTCTCCGTCTGCGGCAGATTGCGAACTGACATGACACATTTCCTGACATTTATTATGACCTTGAGAAATCTTAAGGACACATAGCACAGTGGATAAAGGCGTTGGGTAGATCCAGTAACATGAAGCAAAGATTTGTGAGTTCAATACCTGGTTAAGGCAGTGGAGAACTTGGAGATCTAAATTAACAGGAGATCACGGATAACTGACATCCATTAGACATGGCACGTGGAACTAGAACAGTCTACCCAAGCGAGCGAAATAAAGAGTACAGTTCGACATTCCAACCACCTGAAGAACGCCGGAGCGTACAACGGCCGAAACGTTGTGATAAATATGGCAACAAAGATGAAGTCAATAGTCTGAATCAGGTAAACAGTGTACATAATACCTCAGAAATATAGAGATACTCAGGGAATTCTAATTATATTTAGTTCGATTATCGATCTGTTTTATCCAAGTTGAGCAATTATATTCTATTGATTGTTACAGAATTTTAAATAATTCCCCCAAATCCACGGATTAAGATCTTACTTTTTGTTAAATCAATATAATACTTGTTTGTTCTTAACTGTTTCAAATTAATTTGATTTTTCCATCATTCGTCGCTGTCTCCTTCTGCGACAGATTTGAACTGACATGATATATTTCCTGCCATTTATTATGACCTTGAGAAAGCTTATTTCTTGTTTCCGTTTCATTAGTTAAGAGCCAATGAATTATGTTATCCCATCAGCACTGTCTTGGTCTTTCTCCAGATAATGTTACCCCAGAAAACAATTTAATGAACCCTACACTAGCAGTTTTGATGTGTTCATATAGTTTCAAAGATTGTTTCAAAGATAAGTTCCGGATTGTACCGAAAATAGCACGCAAAATGGTTACATTTCTAAAAGTGGTTGTTTTCACTTTATTAGTTTATAATGTGTGGCGATCCATATCAGACGATTCTGGAATATCTCGAATTTTCACAAGATTTAAACTACATAACGCAACTGGAAGAATGTCTATATTTTCACATTCCACAGTACTTCAAACAAACGCTTCGAAAGGAAGTGACCCTAAACAATGGAAAGAGCAATAACAGTTACTGGACTTGATAAACAAGTTTTCCTGAAAAAAATTATTAAGAGAAATATTTTAGATCAAAGTAGCACTGGCCACTCGAGTAATGAATGCCGAATATATTATAAAACGGCTGGGGCAACCAGAGGCGGTGTAATGATTAGCTAGCTAGTCTCGCTAGAACAATTACGACTGAGTAGTGAATTCGATCCTCACTAGGTGCTCCATACTTTCGACCTTATCCCACATCTAAGCTACTCTTGGAAAATCCTTATGATAAAACGGCTGATATTACTGTTTCTTTTTATATACATTGATACAGATGTTAATTTCAGCATAGTTTTATGTTTTACAAACTCGCCCATCAAGGCTTATTTGGTGTTTGACTGCCACTTATTCGTTGTTCATCCCTTTGCACTTAGAGCTTGTGACCCATGTATTCAAAATTAGTCGAAATAGCTAGAAAGTTAAAATAGTTGAAATAGCCAGATGCAACCGTAAGTTCTATTCTAATAGTTTCTTTTCTCGCAGTTCTCGCCTGTGGAATTCTCACGGCTTCTTGCTTCCCAGTCACCTACCAAAAATTTACGTGCAATATCAATCACCATCTTCTGTTTTTTTTTCTGAAACCTGTTATTTTATTGTCCTTTCTTCTCACTAATGCCTTCCTCATTTCTCTTTCGCCCTTTCATTTATGGCAACGAATACTGGACCATTTCCCCATGGAAGATGAAGAGATTTGAAGTAACAGAAACGCTGTTCTACAGAAGGATGGTGAGAATGCCATGGGCTGAACATGTGAGCAACGACGAAGTTTTAGACAAAATGGAAACCAAAATGACGCTTCTACTTAACATCATGAAGAAACCGTTGACATTTCTCTGGGATATAACGAGGAAAGAGGGTTTGAAAAATTTAATACTCACATGACATATTGAAGATAAGAAAGACATAGGACAAAAACGGGAATGGAAGCCAGAGGAGAGTTTGCGAGGACAGATAGCAAAAAGACAAAATTTATTAAAAGCTACAAAGGACAGGAAATAGTGGAGAGCTATGATCGCCAATGTTCTGAAGGGACACGGCATATAGAAGGAAAAATGAATAAAAATATGCAATTTTATGAATTTTTGCTCCATTGATTTGGATCGTAAATTGTGATAGCGTTTGGTCTGTCGATATTGAAAGCAGACCCCTTGAGGGTTGAGTTCAAAGTCGATTTATTTTGCGTTATGAGAATATTGGTTCAAAAATATTTAGACCTCATTTTATTTGATTTATTTGATTTAGATACTTTTAAAATTGATTTGAATTTAACTAATTCTATTTGATAAAAAAGAAACAGTTTCTGCTAAATACTTAATTTATCGTTTTTTGATCAAAGGCGGAATATCTAAGTCACTTTGAGACGGAAATTTTATAAGCCTTTTGGGAACGGTTTCTTTATTAGTTGGAAATTCCACTTCGAATAGTCCATTAGTTATTTTTAAGCAAACTCAAAACAACAGGCACTGGCTGATCATTTGAAAAGTATACCTACAGTAGTAACGAGTGAAAATTTTGATATAGCAATCATGTTAGAAGTTTGTTTATTATACACATTAAATCAGGCATTAAAAAGAGTAACGAGGAAAAAAAATTTAAAAAAATAGTTACCGTGGGAAGTAAATTAAAAAGTAAGACAGAGAGAGAAAGAGAGGGAAGAAAGAGAGAGACAGACAGAAAGAATGAAGGTGGGAGACAAAGACGGAGAGAGACAGTGATAGAGAGGGATAGAGAGAGACAGAAAGTGAGTGAAGGAGAGAAAGAGAGAGAGAGACATCGAAAGAGAGACAGAAAGAGACAGAGGGAGAAGTTAGAGACGGAGAGCGAGAAAGAGAGGGAGAGAGAGACAGAGAGAGTGAGGGAGAGACACACAAACAGAAACAGAGAGAGAGGAGATATAGACAAAGAGAGAGATGGAGATAGACACAGAGAGAGTGACAGAGGGGAAGAGAGAGACGCAGAGAGAGAGAGGGAAGTGATAAAGAAAGAGTGAAGGAGAGAGACAGAGACAGAGGGCGAGAAAGAGAGATAGAGAGAATTTAGGCGAGGGACATAGAGAGAGATAGAGAGAGAGAGTGAGACAGATACGGAGAGAGACACAGGGAGAGACTAAGAGAGAGAGGGGGGAGAAGAGGGAGATATACAGAGAGAGAGAGAGAGAGAGAGAGGGGGTCTTGTTTCCACTTTCTCTTTATTTATTTCTACTCCTTTATATCCCTTTTTTACTGTTTTTCTTTCGATTTACCGTTTCTAATTGACTATATTTCCCTTTTTCTTTTTTTCTCCTTTTTTCATTTTATTTTTCATATTTTTTCTTCTTTTTTCTTCTTTTTTCATCATATTTTTCATATTTTTTCTTTTTTTTTCTTCTTTTTTCATTATATTTTTTCTTCTTTTTTCATTATATTTTTCTTCTTTTTCATTATATTTTTTCTTCTTCCTGGGAAGCATTTAATTTTGCCTATTGTACGAATTTAAATTTGATGCAAAACTAGTTTTTAAAAGATACAAATTCTATCAGTTTTATGAAGATAAACCTTTTTCGCTGTTCGTAAATAATTTCGGCAACATGAAATTCACAGACATCAGTGACGATAAAATAAACCGGCAGAAACGTATAACAGCGTTTGGCAAAATTAAAGTTAGTGACGAGATATTAATAATTCCAACAATAAGAACATTATTTAGTCTGATGAAGTCCTTTTAAAGGACGAAACACGTTACAGAGAAATGTTTCTATTTTGTCATTCAATTAATCAAAATTAGGCTGACATATTTATAGTATTAATCACACAATACAAAGCTCAAGTACCACTCAAAGTAGAGGATTACTGAAAGAAGTCTTTATAAGAGCTTAAAGAGAGGAATTAAGTGCATATTATGAGTTTACATAGTAACGTTAACGGTAGGCCTGATATTTACTGAGGTTATGATCGTATTTGTTGGGTAAGCATCCTCTCGAGAGTCAGATCCGCAAATTAACAGTTCTGGATTAGAAATTGTCTGAGTAGAAATTTCTTCCTATCATTGTGTTATGGTCCAAGATTAGGACCATGGAAGATCAACACGAAACACAACAGTAGAAATAACCAAGAATATATTACACAATAAATAATACAAGAAGTAAAAAAGTTAGTAAGACTGTCCGACTGGTTTGGAGTGAACTACTATCAGCTCGACTCGATTCAATACCGTCCCAATACCAAATGCGTACGTCTCTCTTGAGAGGCGTAGTATGTATAGCGTTCGGCAGAGTTCATTCTGTCGGTCTAGGTAAGCACCATGACACAATGGAATACGGAGGGAATGAGGATGAGCTGAGCCTGTGTATATGGCATGATTGGTCCAAGCGATGAGGGTCTGAACTGGTGGAACTAATGAATGTCTGCTCATTTGCATAAAAGTAGCAATGGTTTAGCGAGAGGCTAGCTATGTTTGGTCTGTCTGAAAGGGGCTATTGGGTGCAGAATAATTACAGACCTTCAAGAGCGCGTAAACACCTTTGGTATATAGGGTTTATATCAAATCATTTTGATATATAGGGTTTGTATATCATATTCTCTCACGGTGGGATAACATTGGAATAATACATACGGACAAGGTGTAGGCCGTCTTTAAGTCAGTTGAACCGTAGAAAAAATTATTTAAAATGTTACTAAACATACACCCTTGTGTAAATTATTTGAAACTGTTATTGGGTCCTCCCCTTTTCATATAAGTGGACTCTACCAGTGTTACTTGGAGTGCTACCGTTAAATACCCAGAGTTAGACAGTCAGTGAGAGAGGATATACGGGGACAGTCAGAGAATATACGAACGGAGGTGAGGTAACCTCGTGTAGAAGTCAGTTACAAGCACGTAGACTCTAAGGAATTCCTACTTCGAGACTGTATATATCTATCTGTATTTGCTACTAACCGCGTTCCTGGATTTACTAACAGTATTACTCTTTGTATGATTGTGTAAATACATTTTATTTCTTATATTTAATTCTAGCGTTTGTCCTTCATTGGAGACCGAATTCATCTCGGAATCCACAACAGAAACAAAACGAACAATTTCGTTATTACTTAATTTTTTTTCGTATTTTCCAGTGAAACATTACTCAGTGCACAGGTTAATACTTCGTATGTCTATTCCACGAAGTTCTTCCTTGCAGATTGACCCCAGATTCTTAAATGGATTTAAATCAAGAGACTTTTCAATTTGATTTGCTCACTGGTAAGGCTTGCCAGTGTGTTCGAGCAGCGTTAAAATTTTCATATGCTTCCTTGGAGTAACGTCCACAATAGCCGTAGGACAACTAATCGACAGTCGAGACGATAGTGAATGGGTGGGATGAAAATCTGATGTAATCACGCGTGACGCAACATTTTCAAGGTCAAACAAATTTCATCAAGCATCCCGAAAATATATTTATTTTACTGCATGCCATTGCAAATGACCTAATCTGAGCAAATCGATTACACCCTGTCACTTCGAGATGGTCTAAAACTAACATTATCCAGAAAGAAAGGAAACTAAAGTGGTTGTTTGAATTAATTTACAAAAGGGTGTAGAACTTACTTAGGGGTTTTGGGAATGGAAATAGAAATAAATCAATGGTATGTCACGACCGTTAAACATTTGCGATGACCAACTGAGGACTTGTCAAGTATCTACTCCGCTTCAAACGTGCTTTCATTAAGGTTCAACACAAGGAATTAAGTCGATAAATAAATTTCTCAATTCGATGGTGGCTATCTTCCTGGTTGCATATTGATTTTATTTTTATTTCATATGCATGAAGACTAAAAACGCAAAAACATGGATATTTTGTTTGTTTGATAGTAAAAAATCCTCCATGAAAATATCTTTCAACGTCATCTGCTTAAATTTCAGAGATAAGGTATTGTAATTATTTACATTGTTCGGACGCTGTCTACGTCTTTATTGTCATTTTCACGACATTTCGGCTGTTGTACACTCCGGCATTCTTCAGGTGATTCGAATTTCGAACTGATCCCTTTATTTCGTCCACCAGGGAATATTGTTCTAGTTCCACGTACCAGACCTCTTCCGGATGTTTCAGTTATCCTTTAACTCAACTCTTCAAGCTTTTTCTCACCACTGCAGTAGCCAGGTACTAAACTCACAAATCTTTGGGACAAGTCACTGGATCGAACCAACGCATTTATCCACTGGGCTATGTGTCCTCAAGGAGCGTACAATGGCCGAAACGTCGTGAATATGACAATAAAAATGAGGACAATAATCTGAACAATGTAAATAATGTAATGTGTTTCACCTGTAGAAGACCGGGGCATGCAGCGCCCGAAACGTCGTGAATATGGTAATGAAGATGAGGACAACAGTCCTAACAATGTAAATAGTTTGCATGCTTATAATACCTCATCTTAGAAATATAGACAGATTTTGTTTTAATTATTCATCTGTTCTTCATTCCTGTTGATGTTTTGTACAAGTCAAGGAAAGCCCCAACCCTACGCAACGTTGATTCTGTTTTGAACAAGAATATTTTTACAGAAACAGGGTTTTAAATCGACAGTCAGACAGTGCCAAAGCGCTCCAAGTGCCTCCCCATTTAGCAATAGCTACAGAGAGGCGTAGATTGAGGCTTTTCCCAAGGGCATTTATGCGCAATTTTCCGAGCCAGACATTGAATTCGGTTCGTTGATATGATAATGGTTAATGACATGGAAAATATTTTCTTTAATTGTTCATGTGTTCCAGTTTCTTTTTTTTTTCATGTGCCATGTGCTTTCAGGACGTATGCAGTCATGGCCGTCCGACGTATCCCGTCCTGTTACTGTAAGTTAAATCTGTCTCTTTATCACCCCTCTTTGCCCTTGTTTTCTGGTGTATTCACATAGATTCCTCATGTAATTGTTATATTCGCTGTGCTAGCCTGGTTCTCCTTCGTTCAGCGAGTTAGATGAGTGCGAAATTCCCCGTGCCCGATTTTCTTATAATATATACCACGAATTTCACTTGTCACTGACTGGTTGCCAGTATCATTTTAACTTTAGTTACTATTACTATTATTATTATTATTATTTAGTTACTTCCACATTGTTCACATGTTCTGTCTATGTTATTTACAACAGTTTACGATAGATCACCATTTTCGTCTTTTCAACTGACTTCATCTGTTAGCATTCACTGCCTTTTAGGAGATTATATATTACGAAGCAGAGGAGGAGTCTTGTTCATAAGATCGATACAGCGTGAAATCGACCTCTGACTTTTTCCAGAGTTAACTGGACTTACTTGCAATATGCATGAAACCATCCTTTTTTTGGGGAGAGGGGTTAAAAAATCTATTCTAAAGAAAGAATTAACATTATTAATCAAAGAAAAAATTAAGTAAGTTAATAAAAGCATATATCAATTTATTCTTCGTTTTAAGATAAATAATTATTATCCTCTAATACCTGTACATGTGCTTCCAAAAGAAATCCCCACAAAAATGATAAAACGGGAAGAAAAAGTGTTAAAAAATATTCAGAAAATTAAAAAATATATGCAGATATCAATGATGTAAAAACATTATGAAACTTGAAATTTGTAAACAAAATCTAGTTCCAGATATCTCTTGTAAAAGTCATAGATCGATATTACACTGTATTGATAATATGAACAGGACCTTCCTTAGAAATCGATTAAAAAATCATTATTTTCGATTAGTCTGAAGAATGTTTGTTTGAATTGATTGATGCATTTTCTAAGGCTTATCAAACTTTTGTAGGTTATTTAAATCCAGAAAGTATTTTTTTATAAAAAAAAATGTTTCTTGGAGAGATAATATTGGTTTAGTGATACGAGTTTTACTAATTAACCTATAGGGTTGGACTTTGGGGGCTTACAGTACCAGGTGTTCCAAAGCGGCCCCCAATCTAAGTACTGACCTGTCTCTACGATGCTTAACTTCGGTGATCGAACGAGAACCGGTGTTTCAGCGTGATTTAAAGTCCAACCCTTACCTCACAGTCGGTGGGGGGGGGGGTAAACGGTAGTGTCAGAGCTATGCTGCCCGGAACTTCGTTCCTGGTAGGGCCACCCAAGGCGGACAGGTCTGACACACACGCCGGCTAACAAGGGCTCTGGTGAAAATCCAAGGAGCGTCTGCATCGGTAACCGGCGGCTTCTGGTCGTTCCTGTCTCTGCGTCTGTGGGAACCCCACGGCAAGCAAGAACGTTATCCGAGTAGGCCTGGGTACCCTACTTCTGTAATTTATCCCAAGAATCTTCTTCTCATAACAGGAAGAAGCCGGCTCAATCCGCCCAGGGTGAATGCCGCATCAGTACAGTACAGTAATTAACCTATAGACGGGGGGTATTTATACGAACATAAACAGGACTTAGAACTCGGTTCACTGATAAACAATTCCCAGCCATTATCATTACACCATTTATATATCCAAGCTTACAGCATCTGATAATCCCCAGCGGTCAACCATCTAGGTATTGACCAGGCTCGACGTTGCTTAACTTCGGTGTTCATACGGAACCAGTGTTTCAATGTAATGTAGCTGTGAGCAATTTATGCCACCCGCACGTCCATGCTCATAGAAACTGGCATTACCAAGCGGTCGACCTTCTAGTTACTTACCAGACTTGACATTGGTTACCGTCGGTTATCTAGCCGGTGTTCTAACGTGATGTCGTCGTGAAGTTACTGAAGATTGTTGCTCAAGTATGTTCTGATGAATACTAATGTATAAAAATTACTTCCCAAAGAGGAAACCATTTTTTAAAAGATCTGACAAGTTTATTTAAGTAGTTCACAAAATGAGTGGAAGGAACATTAGTGCTAATCCACAATGATTATTCACCGAAAAAAAAATCCTTATTTTTTTATAATTGGACCAGTATATTTATGTAGTGCTGAGGAATTTATCTATGCTTTGATGCCTAATCAATCCCAGGAAAGATTTTGTATCCTATCTTGCAACTGTGGCTATTGAAAATAAACAATGAAATAGAAAAAAAAAACTATTAATCAATATTCTTGTTGCTATGCACCAGATCAGGTTGATACCAACAATTGGTAATACAATGGAAATCTACAAAGGAAAAGTGACATTGAAATAAACTAAGTGCTTTATTGTTTGGCTTGAGCAATCAACCAACTGTCGTCTTATTATGCAAGATTATATATGAAATGGCTGAAAATAAAATCGGTCAGTATTTAATAACGCTTTACTCATTTTTGCTCGACGAGGTCAAATCTAGTTTTGGGCAAAGGAGTTCTTCTTCTTCTTCTTCTTCTTCTTCTTCTTCTTCTTCTTCTTCTTCTTCTACCTATATCTATTATGGGTAATGTCCCTCATCCCATTGACTTTGATGTCTTTCCACAATTTCCTGTTATTCGTAGCACTTAGTAAATTGTGTCTTTTTGCTATCCTGTCTAAACCATGTTCCTCCATCAATTTGCGCATGCTCATTAGGCAGGCTATGCGTTGGTTTCTTCTGTCCCTCTTGCTTTCAGTATGCCCTGTGAGTGTCAGATTTGCGAGGCCATCTTTTCTCGTTATATACCCCAGAAATTTCAATTGTCTCTTTCTGATGTTAAGCATAAGTATTCTTTTTGTTATCCCTCTCTCTAAAACTTTATCTTTGCTTGCATATTCAGTTAATGACATTCTCATCATCTTCCTGTAGAACCACATTTCTGTTGCTTCAAGTCTCTTCTTTAACTGTGAGGAGATTGTTCAGCAGTCAACGCCATATACGAGGACTGATATTACCTAATAGTTCAGTATTCTTTTCTTTGTTTCATATTTTCTTTAATAAGATTTATATTCAGGCAGGTAGAAGATAAGTAAATATCCTGCTTAATAAATAGACGGAGCATTTACTTAAATATGGGTTTCCGCTAAAATAACTTATAAGTAATAAAACCTGTTGGTTTTTGCTTTTTTGGTTTGTTTTGTTTTACGGTATATCAACCTTAATGGGTTAGCTAATGCCGACAAACATTTTCATTGCTGGTAATATATTTTTTCAAAAATGTATTGCTGGTAATACTTTCTTTTTACAAAAATATATTGCTGGTAATATTTTTTCAAAAATATATTCCTGGTAATATTGTTTCAAAAATGTATTGCTGGTAATATTGTTTCAAAAATATATTGCTGGTAATATTGTTTCAAAATGTATTGCTGGTAATATTGTTTCAAAAATGTATTCCTGGTAATATTTTTTCAAAAATCCATTGCTGATAATATTTTTTTTAAAATGTATTGCTGGTAATATTTTTTTCAAAAATGAATAGCTGGTAATATTTTTTAAAAATGTATTGCTGATAATTTTTTCCTTCAAAAATTTATTGCTCGTCATAATTTTTTACAAAAATTATTTCTGGTATTCAAACCTATTTTTACACGTCACAGTGTGTTGACCCCAGTTTGGATGTTAACTATTTTTCCATGGCTGGGACCCTAACAGGTGCTACCACCCTGGGTTAGGATGGACCTGGAAACACAAACAATTAAGAGGTGGTTCGACGCTCTTCAAAACCTCTTGATCAGAGGCCTTGCTGTTGGACGTAGTTTATCGTCCAAAAAAAAAATCTGTCGAATTAATAAATAAAATATCCATAATTTGTTTAGAAATTGCTTTTCTTACGTTATGAAACTGAGCAGATACATATTTCGAGAATTTGCGAAAGATTTGCATTTAAAGGTTGCTCTTCAAATTTGCTTGATCATCGACGCACTTCGTGCTCGGGAGGTTTAACACTTGAGTCCTAACCACCGCTTTACCGATGTCAGAGAAAAATGACGTAACGCCGAGCTACGGGTTGAACGGTGGGTAAACACTTGTAACTATTTTCATATCTATCGTGAAAAATTAAATAATTATTTACGAATTTTGAATCAGGAACTCAAGTGGAAGGGTTGTAATTGTTCAGGAACGCAGGGGTCAAAAGGTTAAATTAGGTGCCGAATTGTTGCAAACGGTTAGAATACTGAATTATTAGCTTTAGGCCATCTTGCGCTGTTGAACACATTGGGCAGCAAGATCTCTCCAGTGTCTTTGATCAGTTTTGATCATGCCAATTATTTGTGAATTTTGACTCAGGAGCTCAGGCAGAAGTGTTAAAATTGTTCAAGAACGCAGTGATCAAAGGGTTTAGTTAGTTGCCGAATCGTTGCAAACGGTTAGAATATTGATTTATTAGCTTTAGGCCATCCTGTGCTGTTGAGCACATTCGAAATGCAAATGGCGTTTCGAAAGAACCGGCGTTGCTTTCAAAATAGCGATAAATTATATGCTCAGTGTCTCCCTCAGTCGAAAGAGCCAAATTTCTACGGTTCTTTTGCTGCCAAGATACTGAAGCCCTATCGTCCTATACATCGGCAAAATGCACGGAACACATGAAAAATTCATTTGATGGAATAACTGATCCTGTCATCTGAGAAATGACGGCTTTCCGACAGAAGTCGTCAAAATAAAAATAAAAAGAAGTAAATGAAACCACAAAAATTATTAAGTTTCCTATTCTTTAACGAAAATATCGTTAAGTAGGATATGTTACAACATAAGTAAACGAGTAGATATCTGCCAAATACACTTATATAACATCGTTTTAAACTATCTATATATCCATCTCATTTGATTTTTTACGTTTACTGAGCATCGTTTGTTTATATCCATATATCGTTATACCGTAGCAAGAAAGAATAAAAGACATTCGGCTGACAAAGACTTGAACCCTCCAGCGAGACAAGAAAATATGGCTCAAAATTTTATACCTCAAGTTGTTAAAAATCTTTGGAACTTACAATGTCCAAAACCCTAGCTGTATAGGTTCATTGAATTTGCCATAATCTATTTTTGACTTATATTTTGGCAACTGGATCCGCACATTCTTAAATTTTCACCTCTAACAAGCATCTTATTTCAAACTTTCGATTTGGTGATGAAGATCAGTTACCCAGATATTGTGGCTGGTGGGAAGTGGCTCAGTGTATCGCCCATTTTAATAACCTCTACCTTACCACCCTATTTATCACACGATTGATGTTTTTCAAGGACAGGAAGACCCTTTAGTCTTTGTTTGATGTTTTCCTATTTTTTCCCCTGCTGTTAATTCCCCTCTCCAAGTTCTCCACCGCCTTAACCAGGTATTGAACTCACACTATTTGGATCCTGTCACTGAATCTAACTAACGCCTTTATGTGTGAGTGCAAGTTCAATACCTGGTTAAGGTGGTGGAGAGAGGAATTAACACGAGATAACTGATATCTGACATTCATTAGACATGGCACGTGGAACTAGAACAGTCTACCTAAACGGGCGAAATAAAGAGTTCAGTTCGACATTCCAACCACCTGAAGAAGGCCAGAGCGTACAACGGCCGAAACGTTGTGACAAATATGGCAACAAAGATGAGATCAATAGTCCGAATAATGTAAATAGTGTGCATAATGCCTCATCTCAGAAATATAGACAGATACTGAAAGGCCGAAACGTTGTGATAAATATGGCAACAAAGATGAGGAGAATAGTTCAATCAATGTAAATAGTATACATAATACCTCATCTCAGAAATATAGACATATGCTGAAAGGCCGAAACGTTGTAATAAATATGGCGACAAAGATGAGGACAATAGTCCGAATAATGTAAATAATGTATATAATACCTCATCTCAGAAATATAGACAGATACTGAAATGCCGAAACGTTGTAATAAATATGGCGACAAAGATGAGGACAATAGTCTGAATAATGTAAATAGTGTACATAATACCTCATCTCAGAAATATAGACAGATACTGAAACTGCCGGAACGTTGTAATAAATATGGCAACAAAGATGAGGACAATAGTCCGTTCAATGTAAATAGTGTACATAAGAACTCATCTAAGAAATATAGACAGATACTGAATGGCCGAAACGTTGTAATAAATATGGCAACAAAGATGAGGACAATAGTCCGTTCAATGTAAATAGTGTACATAAGAACTCATCTAAGAAATATAGACAGATACTGAATGGCCGAAACGTTGTAATAAATATGGCAACAAAGATGAGGACAATAGTCCGTTCAATGTAAATAGTGTACATAAGAACTCATCTAAGAAATATAGACAGATACTGAATGGCCGAAACGTTGTAATAAATATGGCAACAAAGATGAGGACAATAGTCCGTTCAATGTAAATAGTGTACATAATACCTCATCTCAGAAATATAGACAGATACTGCAGAGAAGCAGGTGCGGAGAAAGTGACTGAATTCGAGAAGCTAGGTCAGTACCAATAATATTGCTGATTTTTTGGCTTATATCAAGAATCTCTAAATATATCGCAGGTGCACCAGGCCATATTTCATCTAGGTAATTTCCAACTGTATATTGCTGAGACCTTGTCGCCAGATTATTACTGCGCTTAAATTCATAGATTCTGGTTACCATAGCTAAGTGCACAGTTAATGAGAACAAAAAGAACACCCTAGTGAATTGCAAAAGGGATTTCTTGAGAAATGGTTTAAGGTTGGTCCCGATCCTTGCT